ACTTCTGGGAATGTCACAGTTGGCACACAAAAACTCACTTTTGTCCTTAACAAATTTTAAAAGTTTGCTTCATTGACACTATCGTATAATCACATTTTTAAATATATGAATGCTTGTAACTATTCACAAATAGTCTACTAATACATTTCCAAATTTGCTTCATTTTCAGGTCTTTTTGAAGTATCACATTGTGTAATTTATACACATGTGAGCTACGGTCTTTTGTGGATTTAGCCCTGTTAGTCACTTTTTTTTTTCTTTTTTTTTGGTAACTATGCGGCTGTTTAAATTTTGCACATTGGATCTAAATTACTGTACTGTGATTGGCATTATGGAGAGTAAGCTTCTCATTTTCCATCCCTGTCACCTTTTAAAAGTGGGTGAATGGAAATAGCAGTGGACGGCAGTGTTTTAAACCTTCGTCTAGATGTGCGAAAACACGCCAGGTAGAAGAGCTCTGCTACGTTGAGTAGAAGAGAGATGCAGGAGACTACAAGCATGAAGATGATGAAGATGGTCTTCTCTGTGGGTCGGGACATGTAGCACTCTACAGTGAAGGGACAAGGTGCTCTGGAGCAGACGATTCTTGGGTCCATGATAAACCCATACAGATAATACTGCCCCACAATGAACGCTACCTCCAGAAGGATTCTGAAAAATATGGAGGTTATGTAGTTACCCAGCAGGTTGCCTTTAATCTTAACGTGGCCTTTTTCATCAGAGTACTTGGGAACTTTGACGATTTCGCTACTAGAGTGGGTCTGTATATACTCTCTCATTTTATTTTCTTTGTGGATAATGTGGATGACATGACCAAGGTAGATCAGCGTTGGTGTTGAGACGAAGATAATCTGGAGGACCCAGAATCGAATGTGTGAGATTGGGAAGGCGTGGTCATAGCAGACGTTCTTGCAACCAGGCTGTTTTGTGTTACAAATCATATTCGACTGTTCATCGCCCCACACCTGTAATGTTCAGATGAGAAATTAATATAATTACAAATGTATGCACAGCATGTAGATTGTTGAGTTACTTTTATGAGCATTTTAATTAGCTTGTAGTACACATCTATGAGGATCTGGTGTTGTTATTGAAGGTAATTGAGAATTGTGATAATAATGGCTACAAAATGGGATTCTGAAGATACATTGTTGTGGTGAGGCTGTACAAACAATCAGCGGCATTTCAAGTAAATAAAAAAGTTTATACTTAAATAAACAAACTTAAATAAAGAAAAATATGTATGTTTAACAAGTAGTCTAATTTAGCACAGAGAGGATTATTATTCTCTTAGCCCCTGGCCCTGTGACTCTTCAAAGGATAAGCAGCGCAGAAGATGGATGCACGGATTGATGGATGAACAACTCTTATCAAGAGATAAAGAAGACAAAGCTATTTAATCATTTAAAAATGTTTCAATATAACAAAAGGTGTTATTATAAATATAAAGCCTGAAAATGTGTAATTAAACTGAGTCAGCTACTGTTGCCCTGGAGCGGTGGACCTTCATTATGGCCACTAGAGGGTGTTATTATAGATTCATGCTGAAAGGTATAATGCTTTTATAAAGTATGAACAAATTGAAGGAGACCTTCTCTGCTCCGGCTCCAAGGATCATGATCCTGAAGATAAACAGCACACTCAGCCAGACCTTCCCTATGACGGTGGAGTGGGACTGGACCTTGTCCAGTAGAGAGGACAGAAAACCCCATTCTCCCATGGTCTCTGATATGATGAATAAAAGCATATAAAATAACAATTTAGACAAAACATTGCAAGTCCCCCATTTATCAGTACCCAAGTGTATTATGATATTCCAGACTGTGGTCAGGTAGAGACAGGATTAAAGATTTGTTAAGAAACCTGAAACCTTTGTTTCTCATTTAGCTGTTATATACAATAGCAGTGTTTAATGATATATGCAGACTACTCAACTTTAAACAGTCTCACATAGCAAGTATCCATGTAGCCAGAATATATTTTACTGCCAGACTTGTGTTAAGTTGTAGTGACCTAAATGGTATTAAATCTGTATCAAGTTTTTGAGAACAAAAGTATAATTTCTCAAAATACGTAATTAAGTTTTGATCTTGTCTTTATTTATTTAAGTCATGACTGTTGTCTAATTAACCAGTAATATTTTATTCTACATATTACAGTTACAAAAGTATAGCTTACAGCATTCTGTTTTGTTTCAGCAAATAGTACTAGGTACTGTGGTTTATGATTATTGTTTAACAGGATGGTAAAACATCATCAACAACAGAAGAAAGTCTGTTTTGGTTATGAAAGACAATCACATGTTGTAAAAACCCTAATCTATAGTATAGTATAATGTTCAGAATGTAAAGAGGATGCTATAAAATTGGTTGTAATGATAGGAGAGGAATATACATTCAATAGACGTCTGTACGTTCGCTGCATCTATAAATATGTTTATTTTTCACAAGAAGAAAGGCTCTTTAATGTGTCTGTAGACTACACATCTAGTGAAAGTTGAAATGAACTCCAAGTAAATGTGGAAATATATAGATAATTCAGATTTTTATCCTCATGGATTATGGAAAATATGCATCAGTGCGAATGATCAGATGGCTTGTAGAGTTTGTCTGTAGTCTGGCTTTGCTTACACACACATATACTAACATGCTTACAACCCCCTGCCAATGTAAGAATATACTCATAATTATAAATATTCTATATCAATCTTTATAAACCTTTTTAGTTGAAATCTTATTTCAAAAGTAAGACCATGAAATTTAGGTTTTCATGAAATTTAAGAATTTATTACATGTTGGATATTATGGAGCATAAAACAAACAAACAAATATAAAACAAAAAAGTAATTGTACACCTTACCTTTTGAATGTAAAAGGACTCTGTGCAGACAAACAGACCAGTCACCAACAGTTCAGTTGAATGATAAAGAGCCCAGTGCACTAAATCAGACCTGTCTATGGTACCTTGAACTTTAGTTCTGATGAAATTGCGCAACAGTGTGAGCTGTCACGTTGTCATGACATCTGGAAATGATAATCTCAAGTGCAAAATTTTGGGCTGAGCACTGACAAGATTATCCTGTTAATGATTGGCAGTGCTATAAACCAAATTCTTGTGCTCCTGATCTCATTATTTAGCATTTTGTATTAGATGATATTTGTCAGTTATGTACCCACAAAGTGAGTATTTTTGTGAATTTCTTTGTGACTCAAGGAGTAAAGTGCACGGGCACAATAACATGAACACCTGTACAGCTTGCAACTACGTGAGGATTGAACAGTCACGTTCATTTTTTGATGGGGCTATGTCAACAGAAAGTTTCTTTACAGGCTGTGTGATTTGCACAAAGCAAATCTAATATTATAAGCTTCACAAATATGGTTTTGGTGGACAGGTTTTGTACCGAACTGATATACTGAGCAGGTCCATAGTGACCTTTTGTGTAGCCCCTGCAATTTTTATGGATGTATTTGATCCTCTTAATTTTATCCGTGGATCTCAACAATATACTGTCCAGTCAGTGTTCTTTATTAAAAATTTCACTTTTTCTGGGATCGCAGAAATCTTTTTAAAGCAGATGGATTTTGCCTTAACAAGTCAGGAGTAAAAGTGTTCATGTCTAACCTACTTTTACTTCTTGCGTCACTCATTTGTTCCCTCTGCCAAGGACAAGAGACAAGAGGAATCAAAACAAGAAGAAGACATAAGAGAACCTTGAAGGAGAGCTTCAGCTTCTGCCCGGAGAGAGCTTTAATCATGGGAGACATCAGAGCCGAGAGGAAGAGTCTCTTCTCCCCTCCCCAATAACCACCTACAAGGATGAACCTTATTCACCCCCAAACCACATCCAGGTGTCCCTCATTTCCTAACCCCTTCTCCCTCCTCCCCCTTATTGGAGGTCATTGACCAGATGAAAGAGCTCGTCACTGCTAGGAACAAACCTACTCCTTCTCTGGCCCTACTCCCACTTCCCCTAAACCACCATCGGTGTCCACCTCCAGCATTGGATTTAAGTCTTCAGCCAGTTTGACACATTTGCTATAAGGCTAATGGCACTCATGGCTCTTCCCAAGACAAACCGGCGCTCTGCGTGCCAGCCACTTCAATTCAATTCAAATTTGCTTTATTGCCATGAATGTTAATAGAACAGTATTGCCAAAGCTTCAAGCTAAATACAAAATAACAATTCAATTCATACAGTTAAGTAAATAAGATCAACTTTCTCAATTCCTGTCTTGTGGCCTGATAGATGAAGAATGGTGAATCTGCTTAGAAACACATTTAGCTTCCATTGCGCTTGCGAAACTTGGTTAGACCAAGTTAACAGTGCAGCTTATCAAGTCTACCCCTCCCAACTTCAGTTTTGTGAGCAAAACTAAAAGAAAGGGTGGAGTTTTATTTGCCACTTTGTTTAATGATTCCCTCCAATTCTGCATCTTTTGAATATGTGGAAGGTATTCCCTGTTTTCTTTGAGACTGCTTACCCTACCTTAATGAGCTTGTAGATCATTTCAATTCTAAAATTACAAATGTTATTGATGACATTGCACCCACCAAGGTGAAGGTGGCTTCTCCATGGAAAAAAGCCACGCTGGTAAGAATAGAAAAACATTGTTGAAAAGTTGGGTGGCAAAAAACATCTCCAGGTACATTATGACATCTATAAAGAGAGACTTTGCATTTATAGTTTAGATCTGAGAATGAAAGGAGGTCCTGCAACATGTTTTCCTTGTTTTCATTTTTTTTGAACTCTTTTTAATTATATTTAAATGTCTTTTTATTTGGTGGCTAATATCTGTCAAAGTATCAACCGCTCCCTATTCTGAAGTGATAGCAAGCAATTATTATTATTATTATTATCCCAAACCAAATGTGTTTTCTGGTTTTCATCAGTTGCAACCCTACAGTGTTACCAAAGAAGTGTAAAACTAGTCTTTAAAAAGTAAGGTGTTTGAAGTATAAAATGTAAACCTGTCATCTGAAGGTAAAGAAATGTCATGAAACTTTATCCAGTCATTTATTAAAAACAATACAGCATACAAAAATGTCTTCATATACAGTAGAAACCATATAAACAGACTCTTCGCCACAATAATCATTAGCATCATTGTCAATTATTTTAAATCCTAGCTAATGAACACGGCAGTTACTTAAAGGACACATTTAATAACTGGGCGTAGACAAAATTCTGCTCATTCATAGATTAACAAGTGAGTATAGAAGAACATAAATACATTATCAATATTGCATGTTTTCCATTATTAGATTTCCAGTTAAAGAATACAAAGTAAATGTAAAATTCCAACAACGTGGCGCTGAAATAATAACCCCATTCCTTAAAGTTCTGTCATGATTTGTACACCACAATGTAAGAACACTTCACTTCAGTCTTTTAGAACAAGGAAACGTGAGGCAGAATTCTGAAAGGAGCATTTCATACAATAAAATAGTCAGGTCAGTGGATTTTAATGATCACTCAGTAGTCTTTTCTCCTCTTTGGCCCCGTCCAGGCTTCCACCAACACTCTCTAGCTCCATGTTAATCTTGTTCTGCTTGAGTGCTTCCTCTGTAGTCGTCCACCTGGGTGCTGACAGGCTGGCAGGGTTTTCTGCTGAAGTGAGTGCGTGAGGCCTGGACCTACATTTGACCCTGGTACAAATCAGATACAAAACCTCAATGACGTTGAGAAGCAGAGACACGCAGGAAACTGCCAACATGAAGATAATAAAGATGCTCTTCTCTGTGGGTCGGGACATGTAGCACTCCACAGTGAAGGGACAGGGCTTCTTAGAGCAGGGGAACATGGGGACCATAATGAAGCCGTACAGGTAGTACTGGCCCACTATGAAGGCAGACTCAATGATGATCTTGACCACGAGCTGGGTCAGGTAGCTCCCGAGCAGGTTCCCCTTGATCTTCACCTTTCCCTTTTCGTCTGAGTATTTGGGCACTTTGAGCAGCCGGGTCCCGCCAGGGCTCAATCGCTGCTGCTCCCTCAGCTTGTTCTCCTTGTGGATGATGTGCATGGCATGGCCCAGGTACAGCAGCGTTGGTGTGGAGACGAAGATGATCTGGAGGACCCAGAAGCGAATGTGCGAGATGGGGAAGGTCCAGTCGTAGCAGACGTTCACACAACCAGGTTGCTGAGTGTTGCAGATGAAACCCGACTGCTCGTCCCCCCAGACGCTCTCAGCACCGGCACCCAAAACCATGATCCTGAACAGGAAGAGGACACTCATCCAGAGCTTCCCAATGATTGTGGAGTGGGACTGGACCTTGTCCAGCAAGGTTGACAGGAAACCCCAGTCTCCCATATTTTATTTGGCGATATTCAGTTACTAATCTGTGACAAAAAAAGATAAAGGAAATACAATAAATATTCATGAGTTAATAAATACATCAAACTGAATAGTTTTGTTTGTATTGATCGTACACCACACCTTATTAACTGAAACATTAACCACAACATAGTATTTAATCAATATGCTCCTGCTGGAAGAAAGGCTCATTGTTCATATTAATAGAATAATATTTTTTTATGTTCTACATGAGAAGAGGGTCTTAGCTCCCCATGAACTCAAAGGTAGTTGGTCAATATTTTTCTAAATAATCATTTTGAACAGAAGAATGAACAACTCACTGGCCTTGTACTAATGAGGCTTGGTTGAAGTAGGCTGGTATAGAGATACAACTATGAAAGAAGTGAAAAACGGGAGGGAAAGAACTTTCCCTGGGTAAATGTAACTTCAAAAATCTTACATCAATATTCTTTATAACGCAACAATATTTCTACAATAAACATATAAAACGTGTTATGAGGGCAAAACTGAAAGGTAAGACAAGAAAAGCAATCTGATGCCATGATTAGTTATGTAAGTGATATTCATTCAGTTAGAGAGAAAGCAGTAAAATAAAAACCCATCACTTTTTTACAAAATATAAATGCAAAAAATACTCTACATTTCCATTCTTTATAGTGTTCCTTACAAATAAAAAATCAGCGATCTGTAGCAGAGAACAATAATCATTGCATCTTACCTGCTGACCTGGTCAGAAAGAACTGTCTCTAGTTGGGACAGATTGTTAACTTAAATGTTGGACCTTGGAGTTTTGTGTAGAACTGATGAGGGATCACATTACGCAACACACATCTGGCTTTGATGTCACGTTGTACCTGTCAGCAAACCAGAGCAAAAAAAGACCAATCGTGTAATAATTGACAGGTATTCAGTCTCACTTTAGGAAGTCAAGATCTTTGTCTGTTAAATGGTCTTGGATGTTTTAAAAAATAATAGAAGAAATAAATAACTTCTACCGCCCGGGGCCAGTTAATACAGAGACACATTGAAGCATTTTGGTGACACTTCTACGTTCAAACCCATAATTTAGTTTGGTTCATGTTGAAACAATTTGTTGACTTTGCCATAAAATAAATGGTCACCTGGTGAAAACAGAATGCACCTCTGTTCAGGTTCATTTTTATTTGGTTTGACTCAATATCATTTACTTACTTCATTTAAGGTATGGTAAAGGTACTTTATTTGTCACATACACATACATGTAGCAAAATTCATTCTCTGCATTTAACCCATCAGTGGGCAGCACTGTACAGCGCCCGGGAACCAACTCCAGATCGAATTAAGTGTCTGGTCAATGGCACTGAACATAACATGTTTTTGATGGTGGGGAAACCGGAGCACCTGGAGGAAACCCATGCAGACACGGGGATAACATGCAAACTCCACAGAGAGGCCACAGTGCTATCTATCAGGCCACCGTACTGAAGGATCCTCGTAGACTCCCATGTTTCGGCCAGCCTCAGCTCCACCTCTTTTCCCATTTTTGGAATTATCTGGTGTAGGGACTGCCAAGTTGGTGACTGTCAGAGCCTCCATCATTGAGCTTCACAACAGCTCTTCGGAAGCCGTGACGTCACGGAGACTATGTTCATGCTTCATGTGACTAAGACACCTCATTTTCCCTTTAATTTGTCACCCATCTGTATAACTGGTTAATTAGTGAGCTTTAGACGTGCTGGTAAGCACATTTTGTTACCTTTGGACAGAACCAGGTTAGCAGTTTCTCCTTGTTTCCAGTCTTTGTGCTGAGCCAAGCTAATTGTCTCCTGCTGGTAGCTTCATATTTAACGTGAAGAAAGCAAATAAGTGTAGTTCTCAATACACCTATATTACAAACAATTTCTTTAAAAGTACTCAAAATAATTGCAATACCAGACATATCTTTTCTCAACTTGTTCATACTTACTTTTTTCTGACAAATGCTGAGAGGAATACATGTTTTTGCTGATGAAAGCATGTTTAAAGGGAACACAATGTTTATAAATATGAGCTCTGCTGATTCATATATTCTCAGTGGCCTATTAATGATTTCAAAGTTTTAAACTGCATTGACAAGCATTCTTTCAGCACACAATTAACTAAATGCTTTGTATGCATTACAGCAATTGTAGCTCTTTATTTACAGTATGATAGATTAATAAGTGGTCTTCAGTGGTTTGGTAGATGAGGCTGTTCTTAATATGAAAACCCTTGGTGAATTTCAGAGACAGATTAGGGTGGGAAATAAGAGCATGATAATTTAATGAAACAACAGTGTGATCAAGTATAGACCATGTTTATCATACACATTCATCAGAACTGAACTTAAAACTCAGAAATGGTTGAACAAAGTAAGAAAAGGTAAAGATCCAATCTGAATATGAGAAGTTTATTCAATCAAAATTTCAATAACATAGTCTTAAATCATTCCAAAGAAGTACTCTTAGCAAAATCTATCAAAAAAATGTACAGTGTTTTAAAATGACAGCTCTGTCACCTGCAAGAAAAAATGTTTGTTATTTTTTTATTATGTCACAAAAGTCACTTTAAGTCACTTTAACTACTTTTTTAGCATGTGACTGAGTTATGTTTACCAAAGCTGGCTACCCCCCCACCCACCATCTTTATTTACTGCACACACACCCCTTTCCACCCCAAAGCCAAAGCACACAAATACTGGAACTCGGGAATTTGACCGGTCAACCTATCACAGCCTCAATGCTTCAGATGTGGACCTCCCCTATGTGTTGTTCTCAGGTGGTATATTCTTAGCAGCCTCCTTGACCCGACTGTGACCCCGTTCGACCCCAATTTTCTTCCTTGGAGCTCCAGCTCCAGGTTCACAGAATTTTGGATCATCTCGTCACGTCTTTAAAAGCTTTCCTTCCCAAAAGTGGAGGTGTTACCGGGGTCACTGTGTAATCCTGCCTCCTCGTCATGCACTCCTTCACAGCTTTCGAACACAGGTATAACAGCTCCACCAGGCTGAGGATGAGGGAGACAATTGCTGCCACCAGCATGAACCAGATGATGACTGACTTCTCTGTGGGCCTGGACAGGAAGCAGTCCACTTTGTGAGGGCAAGGTGAGCTAGTGCAGACATAACGAGGCTGGAGTGTGAAACCGTAAAGAAAGTACTGACCCCCGATGAACAAAACCTCCAGGATAATCTTGGCCAGAAGATGGAGGACATAACTGCGAAGGACACTGCCACGGATGCTGATCTTGCCAGTGCTCTTGGTGTACTTGGGAACTTTGTAGGCCCTCCTAAGGAACAGAGTGGCCTGGTCATCCAAATCAGCATGCTTCTCATCCTCTCCTTCACCTTGGAATGGAAGGACAAGAAAATGACTTTTCCAGTAAGCTGAAAAAGACACAGATTTAGAGGCAGTGCAGATGTATTCAAAGTAATTAGGTGAAAGAATCAAGATGGAGGCAACACCACTGTCAGTCTGCAGTGTTCAGAAATCAAGTTCAGAAATTTATGAGATATAAACTCCCAACAGTTTTGCCAAAATATGACTAAACACTTATTGGTATAGTGCTGTCTCCCTCCTTGAAACATTGAAGCACTGGAAGTTGGTTTTTAGACATTTTGGAAAAAATATGAGTAAAATATAAAATAGTATAGCTTTAAAGCTGCAATAATCAATCAATGTTTTTGCACAGTGACAGATACACTGCCTCCACATCTCTCCAGCTAACATTGTGGTTATAGTAATGTGTTAAGAGACGACTGTGCACTTTTACAAGACACAGAAAAACGTATTCATTTTGTGTTCTGTTTCTGGCCACATAATATTCACTCTTCTTTTAACTTTGAAATTATAAATTATAATTATTATAAAATTATAATATGTAATTATAGCAGTATATACAGTATCCACTGACCAGTGATGTATTTAAAGTAATGATGTAAGTCCTGTCTAATGTGTGTTATGGCAGAAAATTGTGTCCTCTTACATTTAATCTTTATAGGCATAGGGATGTACAAGGTACAGGCATTTCATAAATATTGATATCATGCAACCTTAAGTCGGTACAGAGCATTATTTATTTGTAGCATCAATCCAAAGCCATATTTTGCATTTTGTACTGCCCACTGGAGTGACACACCTTCTTCTCAGTGTGGATCACATGAAGTACGTGACCGAGATATAGAAGCTTCGGAGTTGCTATAGCAATAATCTGGAGGGCCCAAAAGCGAACGTGAGAGATGGGGAAGGCTTTGTCGTAGCAGACATTCTCACAGCCAGGCTGCTGAGTGTTGCAGACAAAGTCAGATTGCTCATCGCCCCATACCTAGACAAGATTAGAGGAAAGAGATGATAGAAGAGATTACACTAAAAACTTCAGAGAGTTGAAAGTGCAGTAGGAACAATGTTCAGTACTCAAAATGATCATAAAAATGGAGGTTTGAGACATTCCCAATCCAGAGACCTATTGATATTGTTCCAGCTACTCCCCTTTAATACTAGCACAATTATTTCACCTACATTGTTGCTACTCAAGGGCCTCACCTTCTCAGCGCCGGTGTGCAGGACCAGGATGCGGAACACAAACAGCACGGTGAGCCAGACCTTCCCGATCACTGTGGAGTGGCTCTGCATTATCCAACAAGCGGCCCAGCAGATCCCATTCGCCCATGTCAGTCACCAGTTGTCCTTCTTTCTATGTGAGGACAAAAACAATCCATTAAGACTCATAGACAGACGTCCAATACAATAACCTCTGAAGGTATCTTTGCATTATTTGAGAAGTATACACTATTATTGGTTTATTCAAAGAGAATATTTTGAAAACAGAATTGTAGTGTGGTTTTATTAATTTCATTAGCAATCTGGTTAACACCCCTTGATTGGACCTGTTTTTCTATTTTGCAGTTAGATGAAAGGTCTTACAGAAATCACTGTCGGTGTAAAAGTCAGACTCTCTCACAAGGCCAAACTCATTTTATCATTTCTCGCAGGCCTGTGAGTCTGCTGATAGAAGCCACAGCTGGATTCTCCAAAACAGAAGCTACTTATCTGCTGAAAACCAAGACATTAACCTTGGTTAATACCAAACACTGCAAATCTTAATACAGAGAATGTGAGACAGTAGCTCAAATAATGATGTACAAATCCAGACGACTTCCCTAAGTAGTTAAGGCTGCTAAGTTTATGGTGTAAGCATTTTAAAAAAAACATTTGTATTTATGCATTGATCAGGTTTCCTTTACATAATGACACATCAATTCAGAATTTATTTGCATTGCATAAGGCTTCCCCCTATGTTTTATTGATGATTTAGTAAGAACAATATTTTGTAAAGCATTCAAATGTTTGACAAAGGGTAGCTGTTCACATCATATGGATACAATGACATTTTTTGTTTCTTATTGTCTTTTGAGAATGTAATTTCTGACTACATTAAATGACTTCCATATGCACTACATAGTTCCCCTTTTTGAGCTCGTTATGCTCTCACAAGTACAACTGGCATGCATATCTTTTATTTTAAATTGTACGAACATTGCATAGTAGATTACTGTATATCATCAACATAAAATTCCAAAAATAAATCGATTAACTTACACATTTCCCAGTCCATGTACATTACAAAATGAGTTACCTTATATTAGAGACAGAACAGATATGTTTTTTTAAATCAACTTACCAGTAGACAAAACCACAGAGAAAAAACGTGGATGGAGACAGCTAGTCTTGGGAGGAGGAGGAAGAGAGAAAGTGAAGAAGAATCTGTCTTTTCGTTCTTCCTTTGGAATCTATCTGGAAGGACACCAGCCTAAGCACAACAACTAGCCTCCAGTC